GGACAAGGCTAGGCTTGTCTGAGCTTAGACTCTCCTTGAGTGGGTCTTGTTGTGGCTGCTGTGGGGGGTGGGGGTGAGGTTCCCAGGTCAATGGAGTTGTGTACCTAGGAGGATTATGGCTGCCTCTGCTGAGTCATGCAGATTTTCAGGGAAGTGGGGAAAGTCAGCAGTCACAGGCCTCACTCAGCTCCCACACAAACCGAAGGGCCAGTCTCACTCCCACGGTGCCCCCTCAACAGTCCTGAGTCTGTTTCCAGGCAGTAGGCAAGCAGGGCTTGACCACTTGCCCCAGGCTACCTGCCTCCCAGTTGTGAAAGAAAAGGGGTTGGCTCTTCCCCTGCCTGTGGAGTCTGCACACCGGATTTGTACCCTCCCCCGAGTTCTGGCCAAGAGGCTTCTCGCTCTGTTCAAATTGTTACAAAGTGTGGCTAGAGATTTTCTTCTCCCTATGGTGTCTCCCCTGCACTCCTCTGGCTGCCCTCCCAATGGATACCTGTGGTGCCAGGCAGGAATGGCCTGCTGGGGGACCCAGCAGGCTTCCAGGTACTTTCTACTGCTTCCTCTACCCCTGTATTTCCCTCAGCTCTCTAAATTGACTCTGTTCCAGGTAAAGTTGGAAACTTTTCCTGCAAACAGACCTTTATTTTCTCCAGTGGGGGTGTGTGTTCGGGACAGGAGGCTTTCCCTTTCCCACTTCCCCATTTGGGGCACTCACAGTAGCTGGAGTTTCTCTCAGGTCCTACTGGAGCAGTCCATTTCCTTCAGAGGGTCTGTGAGTCCCCTCGGGATTCAGAAGTTCCTTTTTCTAAATATTTCCACTTTGTTTCCTTGGACACAAGTGTATGGGAGGTTCTCCAGTTGCAGGACGGTGCCAGCAGTTTCCAGTGCTAAAATATTCTTTTTCACAACCAATAAGAAAAGACAGTTTTGAAAGCAACTCAGGAAAAGGAAGAAAGGGTTTTTTTCTCTCCTAGAAGCCCAGATATATCCTGAAGTCCTGTTGGCTCTTATTGAGTCATATGTTTATCCCTAAAGTGATCACAGGACCAGGGATATAGACTGTGCTGATCAAAGACTGCATCTTGAGCTACTGATGAGTTTTATTCTACCCAAAGGATTTGTCTGATAATCAACGAGGTGTGTGTAGAAGTTTGCTGGGGATGTTATAACAAAGTACCGCAAACTGTGGCTTAAAACAGAAACTTATTGTCTCACAGATCTGGACGCTAGAAGTAGAAAACTGAGGTGTCAGCCGACTCTGTTAAAACCTCTAGGGGAGCGGGCATGGTGGCTCACGCCTGTAATCCCAGCACTTTGGGAGGCCTAGCCGGGGCGGATCACGAGGTCAGGAGATCGAGACCATTCTGGCTAACACGGTGAAACTCCGTCTCTACCAAAAATATAAAAAATTAGCCGGGCGTGGTGGCGCGCGCCTGTAGTCCCAGCTACTCAGGAGGCTGAGGCAGGAGAATGGTGTGAACCCGGGAGGCGGAGCTTGCAGTGAGCTGAGATCAGGCCACTGCACTCCAGCCTGGGCGACAGAGCGAGACTCCGTCTCAAAAAAAAATAAATAAATAAAAAAGAATGCATGCCTTTCTCTTAAATTCAGGTGCTGCCGGTAATCCTTGGCATGTTTTGGCTCGTAGCTGCCTAACTCAAATCTCTGCCTGTCTCATCATATGGCGTTCTTCTTCATGTGTCTGTGTTCAAATTTCCATCTTTTTTTTTTTTTTGCGAGATGGAGTCTCACTCTGTCACCAGGCTGGAGTGTAGTGGCACCATCTTGGCTCACTGCAACCTCCGACTCCCTGGTTCAAGCGATTCTCCTGCCCCAGCCTCTAGAGTAGCTGGGATTACAGGCACCCGCCATCATGCCTGGCTGATTTTTGTATTTTTAGTAGAGATGGGGTTTCATCATGTTGGCCAGGATGGTCTCGATCTCCTGACCTCGTGATCCGCTTGCCTTGGCCTTGCAAAGTGCTGGGATTACAGGGGTGAGCCACCCCATCCAGCCCAAATTTCCCTCTTCTTATAGTGACACTAGTCATGTGGATTAGGGCCTACGTAATTACTTGATGATACCTTATTTAATTGTATCTACAAAGACCCTATTTCCAAATAAAGTAATATTTGCAGGTATTGGGGGTTAGGACTTCAGCATATCTTTTTGTGGACACAATTCAACCCATAATAGGGTGAATGTCCTTATTAATATTTTTTGTGGTTATCAGAAGGAGGGAATGCATGCTGTAGAGGCAATTGAAAAATAGTTATGCATTGTTAATGCTAAATAATTATTTGACTTCACAATTGATTCATCCAGTGGGATCCACTGGTTCTTCACATTTGTTATCTAGGGAAACTGGAAAGAGGAATAGAAGAGTGGTTTTATCTCATGATCTGCAACAAAAGCTGCTCTAGAAACAGGGCTTGCCCCTCAGTCCAAAAGCAGGGAGTGAGAACAGTTACGCTAAATAGGGTCTTCTGTGTTATTCATCCACAAAGAGGACACATTGCAAATATGGTTAATAAGTCCAAACCAGTCGTCACTTTCCCCTCTAAAAATGATTCCCTTGATTTATGAATACCATGGCTTATTTTTCAGGACTGTCCATTATTTTCCCACTTCATCTCCTAAAAGAATGAAATTCTTATGTCCTCCTTGCAGCAGAGCCACAGTCAAATGCACATCATTTTACACACACACCCCCAAGAATCTGGCTGTCCTTCTGACACTTTCTGTGGGCCAAGGTTGAGCATGAATTACCTGATATCAGTGCCAGCAGCAGCGACTACATATCTGCTGATTCACTTACTTCTTGAAGAAAAATCAATTGTGTCAAATCATCTTGTGGTATGATAGGAAACATCGTGAGTGCAAGTCAATTCGATATTAATTTAGTACCTTGTATTTGACACTGCTTGGCACTGCGCTAAATCTGAGTTTCTTGCCCCATAAAACAGTCATAATGGGCTGCACCTCTATCATTTTACTTCTACCTACTACTATTTCTACCACCTCCACCACTGCCACCACTGTAAGGACTACTGCTACTTCTGCAACATTAGGTAATATAAGGCACTTGGTATGGAACAGACAGTTTTCTGATTATTTTCATTTAATATTCAAAACAGCTCTTATGATATAGGAGCTATTAATATGTCTGTTTTATAAATGTACAAATGAAAGCACAAAGTAGCTAAGTAACTTGCCCAAAGTCGCATAGCTAATAAGTGGCAGAATGAGGATACCAGTTCTGGCTTTCTAGCTCCAGAACTGTGCAGCGCCCTGTATAACCACCATTAACTTAATTAACAACACAAGCTATGGGATTGATGCATAAAGGAACATTTACTTTGTGTATTTTAATGTGCTAATGTGAGAAAGATGAATTTCTTTGCCAATATAGCTGCAAATATGAGCGTATCTTTTTATTTTTTTAATTCATTGCAAGAGACCCACCTATTTTATTAGCAGTGCTATCTTCTTCTTGAGGTCTTCACTCCCAACTCTCCTTAATTGTTAAAGAACCTAAGGGGTCTTCTCAGTCTCATAGGGTTGGTTCATCTTCCAAACACCAGATGGACAGCTAATTTATTTGCTCAGAGGCCTCCTGCTGTCACAGCTTCACTATGATGACCGATTCCCCATTGCTCCACAGTGCCCGTCTACTGTGGTAATTATGTTTTGCTAGTTCATTCATTCAGCAAATGTTTTTAGTGACCACATAATATAGGCAGGCCCTGTGTTTCATTACTAGCTGGACTACAAAAAAGATCAAGAGAAACATGAAGAGCCCCTCTTTAAGGAGCTTACATTCTGGTGGGAGAGTCAAACAACAAACAAGGAGGCCAATAACAAAGGAAAATAACTACAGACTGTTATGAGTGTCCAAAGGAAAGAAGCAGAAAATAAAGAGTGTAGTTCTATTAAGGATAGGCAGGCAGAGCATCTGTAAGGAGGTGCCATTTAAGACCTGCAATTATAAAAATGTCTTAAAATTAGATTATGATTATGGTGCACAACTCTGAATGTGCTAAAGGTATCATTGAATTGCTCACTTTAATCAGGTGAATGTTGTGATATATGAATTACATATCAATAAAGCTGTCAAAAAAATTATAACCAGGTGCTGATATCCAGCAGAGTTATGACCAGAAGTAGACCGCTTTGTATTTTCTGCTTTTGTGCCTATTGAAAATTCTGTTATATAAATTGGGTAAATTCTCAGTTTTGATCTGAGATTTGGCTCTCTTGGGTGGATTATCACTCGTTCATCTGTATTAGATTTTACACTTAAACTGGTGCTTTCTCCTTCATTGTTTCCTACCCTTGTGAGTTTAAACCTTAAAAAAATTCCCCTTGCTATAATTTTGGTACAGTTTAGGAGGGAGGAAACTGAGATCTCATCGTTCAAGGAATAGATATTAATTAGTTTAATCAAATCATTGTAATTCCAGTTGCTGTATGTTTTCAATAATTTAAACTTACGCCAACAAGTGCATTTCCCTAGGTGACCTTCATTAGTAAAGGGTGTCCACATGGCCTATCAGCCCAATCATAGTTAACTGAGGTACTTTTAGTTCATGATGGGTAATAAGGTTTGGCTGTGCTCCTATCCAGACTTTCCTCTTGAATGCTAATCTCCATCATTCCCACGTGTCAAGGGAGAGACCAGATGGATGTAATTGAATCATGGGGGACGATTCCCCCATGCTGGTCTCATGATAGCAAGTGAGTTCTCACGAGATCTGATGGTTTTATAAATGTTTGGTAGTTCCTCCTGCATTCATTCGCCCTCCTGCCACCTTGTGAAGAGGGTCGTTTGCTTCCCCTTTACCACTTGCTGTGATTGTAAGCCTCCTGAGGCTTCCCCAGTCAAGCAGAACTGTGAGTCAATTAAACCTTTTCCTTTATAAATTTCCCAGTCTCTGGTAGTTCTTTATAGCACCGTGAGAACAGACTAATACAATTGGGAAAATTTCCTGTCTCTTTTCAGATGTGACAAGGAAGACTGCAACCCCATTTGCTTCTGATAACCTTCCTATGACTAAGGTAAGACAGCCTTGGGATAAAGCAAGTTCTGTATGTGGCATAAAAGGGAAAGAGAAAGACCCTGGGCATATCAAATACTTCTGAAGTCTCCTTTACATCTGCACTTATGAAAATGCGAGAACATACATTTCCCAATTGCTTGAGCCAATTTGAGACAGGATTTCTGTACGTTCGTTTGTTTGTTTGGCTTTTTCCAGCTGAAGTCCTTTATATGGTGCAAATGGGTTGGAGAGATTAGTAACTGCAATTGACATTTGTATCGTATGCCGAAACAGTGAATTAGAAAGCCAGGGGTATGAGAAGATTGTCCGGAGAAGGGAGAAACGTGGAGGTTGGTGCAAAAGGCGCCTTGTGTCTCAAGAACCTTAGCAACAGTTAGCCAGTACAGTTTCACGGTTGCAATAGGTCGGGAAATGGTAAACATACATAGTGTTTGGGTTAGAGGGTAGAGAAGAAATGCAAGTAACTAACATTCATTGAGAATTTAGGTTCTTGGCACTGTTTCCATTTCAGATATGTTACTACATTTTTGCCTCTCAACAGCACTAAGAAGTAGATATTTAAAGAGACAGAAACCTGAGACTCTGAGATATTAAGTAATATTCCCACAATTACTCAGCTAGTATAAAACTCCTTTGCCATACACAGTGCCTCTAAGTTCCTCACCATCTATAGCATAGTTTAATAATCTAGGAAGTCAAAAAAGTACAGAATATATGTTTAAAAGGGGTCCATCAAAGGTGCTAACATGAAGATGTATTGTTATCTCCCAACTCTAAGGAACATTTGCTAATTCAGAATAGATTCAGAATAAATCATTTCTGAAGGTTTCAGGGTATTTGTGCTAATTGTTTCAACGTACTCACAGCAGAGATTTTAAATACTTATCTCAAGACTGAGGAACAACTCAGTTATCTGAAAGGTCTCATCACAAAGACCTGTACATGCTAATGCTTGGTAACTAGGGGAAGTTTTCTTAAGTGACCAACACCACAAAGCCAGGTGGAAAAGATCCCAGAGGGCTCTGGTGCTTGACGTGTTTCTCTAAGTTTTGCTGAAATAATTGAAAAGATGAAGTTGGAGAATTTAGAGATTATTATTTATATAACATTATAATTTCTCCTCTTTGCCAATATTCTCTTCTTCAAAGCAAAGAGTTTTAAAAATGAGTGAATAAAAATTGATTATATAAGGTTCCGGGGAAGGAGGGTCAAGATGGTATGGTTTGCATTTTGTATCACCTTTTTCCCTCCTCAGAATCATTTTCTTCTAGGAAGCTGGGAGTGTGATTCTATAACACAGATTTAAACTGTGTGAGCCCACTTCTATGCAGATTTTTCTTTAAATCAAAGTTACAGCCTGTGTGCCTACCTCTCCTGCCTTCCTTTCCACCACCTCCATATCTTCTGCCTTTGCAACCTGAGGCAGTAAGACCAGTGTTTCCTCTTCCTCATCCTTCTCAGCCTATTCAACGGAAAGATGAGGATAAACACCTTTCTGATGATCCACTTCCATTTAATAAATAGTAAATATATTTTATCTTCCTTATGATTTTTAAAATAACACTTTCCTTTCTCTATTTTCCTTTATTGTGTGACTACAATGTATAATATATATAACATACAAAAGATGTGTTAATTGAATGTTTATGTTATTGGTAAGGCTTCCAGTTAACAGTAGACTATTAGTAGTTAAGTTTTTGGGGAGTCAGAAATTGTGCAGAGATTTTCAACTGTGCAGGCGGATAGTGCCCTGAACCCCCAAGTTATTTAAGGGGTCAATTGTACTTTCTTCTTCCATGAAATGTCTGACAAAAAGAAAAATCAAAAAATATTTACTTTCAAGTTTTTGGGTACTTAATCATTGACATTGTAGGGAGAGAAAACTTTCCCTCCAAAGGTTTGATTAAGTTTATGAAATAAACTGACAGTAGACAAACAGAAGAAAATGCATACAAATGTATTATGTGCCTGAGGGCATCAAAGGAAAGAAAAGTGAGTACCCCATAACCTAATAAAATTTAAAATCTTGTATGCCCTCCTCATAGGGAAGAGGGAAGGGGGCATGTAAGCAACATAGAGAAAGTTAACGATTTTGGGGGAAGATAAATAGGTAATAGTCTGTGACAAAGATTGGTTTGTGACGCTGACTTCCAAACTCTTCTCTTGTGATACAATTAACCTTCTCTGGTTGAGATTCCTGGGGAGGACACTCATGACAATTGAGGTTTTTGGAGGATCTATCTTTAGGCAGCTAAAGGAAGTTCAGAGAAAGCCCTTTCCTGTACTTTGGAGTAGAAAAAAGAGGTAAGAGGCTTTGGTTCTCTTTCAGTTCCAAGCACTCAGTATGTCAAAGCACTATACTTGGGGGTATTGTTTTCTGAGTACCAACAACATTGAATATTTCTTTGCAAATGAATTATCTGATGTGTTTCCATTCTGGTATCCTATTTTTAAGCGCATCTTCTTAATATGTTATTTTCTTTCAAAAACTTCATGGTGCAATTGCATGATGAATTAACAATAAAATGTTTCTCCCTGATGTATATACACATGTTGTTGTTGTTGAGGTGGGGTCTCACTCTGTTGCCCAGGCTGGTCTTGAACTCCTGGCCTCAAGCAGTCCTCCAGCTTTGACCTCCCAAAGTGTTGGGATTATAGGTGTGAGTCACTGTGCCCAGCCTCCTTGATGTTTTTTGTAAGGAGCATTAGTCGAATTCAATTTTGAATGCACTGAAAAGTTGTCCTAATTCATTTGGATTTAATATTGCCTGATTATATATAAATAACCTCTTTGTTTGAATTATGTTAAAAACTTACTACAAGTAAATCATGGTTTATTAGATAAAGTAGTATGATGTCAAAATAAAAATAACATAAAACAACTACAAAACAGATTTTAATTCTGATTAAATGTGCTTTTTAAATATACTGGGAGTAGGTACTTAGCAATTTTTGGCCCTCTGTAATAAAATATAATAATTCATTTAATCACATGCTAGTTTTTATTGAGGTTTAGAAAATGTAAAATACTTGATCAATTGATTTTCCTTTTAAAATTGGTTCTTTTTAAGTGCTCAGGGTTTAAAACATTACTATCTGTGATGATAAAAACAGGCCTTGCCATCCTGATATTGATTGTTTAGTGGAAGTGGGTAGTGTCTTATAGGTTACTGAAAGTGAGGTAATAGCAAGAAACACCTGCCCTCAAAGGATACAGACGGTTGGAAATCCTCCCAGGGGTGCACTCAACATATCCATCTCTTAAAAGTCTGCTTCTACCCTGACCTTCCTAAGGGGCCCAACAATTGTGATGTTTCTGTGTGGGAATTGTATTCCATCTTCCTTTCTCATGGCTCCTCCCCTTCCCTTGGCCACTTCAGATGGAGGTGTAGGACACTGCTGAAGTGAGCATGCTCACTGGTTGGTACGGCGTAAGTTTCCAGGAGCAGAGAGATTTGAACAAAATTTTAAGATTCATTTTTCCTATTGCTAAAGTCACATTTAGATCTTCTTCCTTTTTTTTCTCCCTTATTCTTTTTATTATCTTCTCTTATATCCTTCTCCACCTCATTCTACCTTTCTTTAATTTCCTCGAAATTACTTGGTAAGGCAGTTGGTACATGGAATATGTATTTTACAATAAAATTACAAATGGTGGTTAAAATCCATACTAGTTCATAAGCATGGATTTTTTTCAATGTTTTTTGAAAGTAAGCCTTATTTAGTTAGACTAGAAAATTAATTCTATGCAAATATATATATCCTAGTTACTGGCTGAGTAGTAATTTTAGGTATATGGACATCCCAGAAAGTGCTAGTTCCATGGGGCAGTAAATATCTTTGTCAAATATGAGTAAACTGTCTTAAGCAAAGGAGAGAAGGAATTGAGGAAAATGCTGCAAATAAAAGGAGGTAAGATTTTTAGGATGAATGATATGCTAGTAGAAGGTGTTTAAGGTCTTCAGAATTTATTGCCTATGTAACTGTAATCTCCTTAGTAGTACTGCCAAAATATTATAAAATATTACTAGTAACTCAACTAAACAGAAAACATTTAAAAACTTTTCAAAGAATTTTAATTTTTATCATATTTTATATTTCATTAACTCTCATTTTAACTTAGTTTTAGGGTTCACTACAACTTCTAATTTAATTCTGAGGTTTTAATTTGTTATACCTTTTCCCCACTTAACTTGATTTACAAATAAAAGTCCATGAGGGAAATTTTACCAATAAGTCTTTCATTGAAGAAATAGAGAAATAAATTAACAAGAGTAGTTTCTTAAGTAAATTATTTCCATCGTTAATTAAATGAGAGACAATTTTTAAAAATTCTGCTAGGCTAGTAATTTTTTCCTTCTCCATTTGTGTTACCTATCATATTACTAGCATCTTTTCATGTCTCCTGGCTAGAGATTCAGAGATACTATGTGGTGATCTGGTCACCACATAATGTTAAAATTTTATCATGTAAAACTAAAAATTTTTAACTTTTTCTACAACTGAACTTCATTTTTATTGTGAACAACTATTTCCCTAGAGTGGCAGAAAACTATTCTCTGACTAGGGTGTCTTTTTTTCTGCTGAATCTAAGTTCTTAAAGGCTTCTACAAGTGCCTAGTGCTAGTGGTGAGGTGGATTTATCTGACTTATGTCCAATCTGGCAAAGTTACATCTGCGGTCATACCCATCCTATTGGGTAATTGGTCACTGGCACAAGCAAGTTACCTGACAAAGTCCCAAGCTCTTGTTTGGAAGGCCCTTGCCAGCCCATCACTTCTCTCTCCTACTTCTCTATACTCTTGGACACATGGGAATCATTCAGCTGCTTTTGCTGGGGCTGAGTCATGATGAACCCTTACAATTGATTAAGAGCTTGTTGGTCCTGCAAGGCCATGCTTCTATTTCTGATATGCAGATTCTCTACATTCTTCAACCTAGGAAAAGGCCCACATGTTCTTGGAAGTTCTTGGGACAGCCACAGTGCAGGGTCCATTT